AAAATATATATTTGTACACATACATACATACATACATACATATCTGATCCGTTCGACCCAAACAGTCAAACCGGTGACCCGCGACTTGGAGGAAAAAATGGTTTGACCTCCGGGTCGGTTTTTGAAACACTACTTTTTAATTAAGAGGAGATAAAGAAATTAGCTAGAAGCAAAATTTATCAACCAACCACTAAAGTAACATGTATGTGGAAACCTTTTCTTATCCAAAGAGTTAATTTCACACTATTCATGAGAAATTAAGATAAGCCATCAAGCTCTCATTTTGTTTTTACATCAAACTCTTAGTTTGTTATCCAAAGAATTATAAGAATAATCAAAATATGAGAAGAGAGACTAAATTAATTCTATTACATATTAAAAAAAACAATTTTTGAAGCTTATGGGGAATTGGTTATAAAAAATGAAGTCTTCGATTATAGTTTAATGATCAATCAAATTAGAAATTCATGCACATATATAGCAATATTACTGTAAGAAAACACATTCATAAATATGCAACATACTTGTCCTCATCTGCATCCGATTTTGGTTCACACAATTTGGCATCAAGTGCTATACCCAATGAGGCCTCCTTGTTTTTTCCTGAAAGGCCAAAATAGAACTTTATGAACATTTTTCTACTTAAATATGTTTTAGAAAATTATTATTATTCAAAGAAACATAGCATGGATGATAAATCACCTTGAAATGAACCTGTTAAGCATGAAAGACAATGTCATGAGATAAGAGGCTATTGTAAGCAACTATATACTCATTGAAAGTAATCTAGTGCTTCACTCTATTGCCAAAATCCTGGAAGTAGGCAATGTCCATAAAGTATCAAATACTTACATTAACAAAATCCATGACATGTTATAAACATTTTTTCTAGGATCAATTGATGTGTTCTGAAATTTCAAGTTCTACATTTAACAAAAATAGGCCACTATTCGTTGTTTATTTTGATTATTTAGGGTCTTGGGAGGGGTGAATTGGATATAGACCTAATCATTCGCATTTTCTTGCATAATATGGCAAGTCCTAGGTTCAAACACGTATTTCCATGCTTGCCCAAGATTTTATTATCACACTGTAATGGCCCTAACTTATGTTTCGTAAGATATCTGTGGAAAAAGGAAGAAGCAGTGGCACTTATTGTAGGTTCATTAGGTAGAAACTGTTTGAAAGTTGATCATATAGATTTAACATTCTCTCAAAAATATTTTAGTTAAGCTACTGATTTTAAGATGTTCAATTAATTTTGTCATGAATAAGGGATGAGGAGAAAAATTCATTGACCGCTAAACAACTGGCTATCAAACATGCCAGGAGTTGAGAGTAATGCCACTTTTAAGATGAAATCAGCTTTATAAACCTATAGAAAAAGGTTACTAAACCAACTTGAGGTATGGCAAAATTGTATGAATTAGTGGTCTTGTTACTTTTGTTGAACACCTTACTTCAAGGAACAACCTTACAACTTTAAGCTTTACCCCCTATTATTGTATCTGAAAACACAAACCTGCATTACAATAAGGTATTTAGTGTGTACACGTGCACAAGGTACTTGATGAGATATCAAATTAATATTGCCCTATCCTATTGAAAAGTGTTTGAAATCAAAATTGTATGACGACATGACGACATGAGACTATCAAATTAATATTGCCCTTTCCTTGGGTAAATGCAGTTAATTGGATAAGTTTTTTTTGGAAACACTTATTTGGGTAAGTGCATTTACCCATGTTCTTTTATTTCTCATGTAAATAAGTCAATGACCATTTTAACCATAAAAATTCATTATTAAAAGGGGCATTTTTTGTCCCATTCAAGTATTGTCAACTTTCCCTCTAGATGGGAAAGCTATTTACCCATCTAAGAGATGGGTATCACTTACCGGGGTAAGTGGTACTCAGGAAAATAAACTCTCTTTGGTCCCCACATACATTTAAAAAAAGAACATGGGATTCTTGGTCAATGAGATTTAAAATCCCATTGACCAACTTTCTCCTCCCTCAAAATCCGAAAAAAGAACACCCCCCTTAAGCTTATTTTTTAAAAAATGCACATAGGTGCAAATGTAAACAACTCCATAGGGTTTCTAATCATATCATTAAAAGTCTCATGCCCAATTTCACGGATATATATAAGAAGTACCTATTAGGCTTCATCTAATACTAAAAGAGATATGTTAAGACCAGATTACATCCAAAATGGCAAATTATATATTCATGCACATAATAAGTGATAAACTGCCATAGTGCCACCATTGTTGAATTTGCTGATTGAGAGTAGTATAACAAAGCAAATATACTTTAAGGCTCAGTTTGGAAGGAGTATAAATACAAATATGTACTACACAAATATATATAAAATAATACAAAATATAAGATTTTGGGCTCTACAGATTTGTATTTATACTCCTTCCAAACTGAGCCTAAGAGTCTAATCTTGTTAAATATTAACAAAGAATTCATAAATAGACTTAGCAAGTCTTCACCATCACCATTCATCTCAAGGGCGGGCCTCAAGAATCACTATCCTCGTTAGCATAGAAGACTTACTTAGCTAGCTTCTAATTATAAGTTCTATTTTTTGTTGTTGTTGGATGAAAGAAAAATTCCATCTAGTTCTACTACTACAATGTTGTAACAAAGAAAAGTTATTAGATCCGAGTAAAAGAAAGACAAGTATAAAAAATAATAAATTAATATAGGGGTTGAAAATAGCTGAATTGAACCAAGTATAAATCCTAAAAGAATAAGCTTAATGAAGAGGGAAGGGGGGACAGACAAAACCTAATATATGACAAAGGAAGCTAAACATCGATTTTTTTTTGTATCAAGGCAAATCTATATTGCTAGAAAGACATGATACCATAAGGGTTTTGATCAATCAAGAATGCCCCGTGAGTTTTGATGAATGCCGTACATATGAAAAGAAATTAAGTAGCTACATCAAGTTCATACTTTTTACCCAGAATGTGTAACAAATGTTGGAAAAGATGACACATTGAAACATATAAAAGGATATTAAATCCAAGCATCATAAAAGCACTAAAATGCTAGGGGATGAAGACCTAAAAATATAAAGGTTGGCCTAAAATGAATGGATTTTTGTTGCGGATAAGGAGTCATGACCGTCAACCTAAAACTCAACCTGATTGAACAATTGCACATGAAAATTTTGATGTAATCATTTGGAGAGTGGGAACAAACATATTACAACTCTAGAATTACAATACAAATCGGCTTTTCAACAACAAGCACATGTAATTGTTGATTGTTGAGCTGTTGTACATGTAATTGGAAACCTAGACTTTTCAAACTATAGCTTTACTAACAAAGAAATTGCTTCATACTTGACTTTCAGCAGTTAATTAATCCATCCACCAACTAAGATTTCATAACCGGATTACTAGCACTTGATAAATCCATAAAATATAAAAAATATAGTAAAATAAGAAATAAATATTTGAATAAATCAATATGGTCTGAAATTATAAAAGTCAGATCTGTTGGGTTTAGGTGTTGATCGGCTGCAAGAGATAATGAGAAATCACTTAGCGCTTCCAGGCATGTGATCAAGAAGACAGAAAGAGGTCAGAATTGAAAGTCAGTGCTTGAATGGTAAAGATGGTTTCTTGTGTATGATCAACAATGGCTTCTTGCCCTTACGGAACAACAACAGTTGAATGAAGATGTAAATAGAGAACCCTTGTTCACTTGCGTTTAGTTTGTAAAATCAGGTGTTAGAAATGACAATGGCTTTTGTTTTTCTTTTTTTTTTTAAATTTTGCCTACTCGCGTGTTAGAAAAGACAATGGCTTTTGCTTTTTTTTTCTTTTTTCTTTTTTGCCTACAAATGTTATGCAGAATAACCAAAAAAATAAGGGGTAAAATTGGTAAAAAAAATCAGGGTCTTTTGACCACACTAAGGCCCTGTATGGTTAATGGGAATAGGGTTCTAAAATCAGAATTAGAATGGGCTATTCTGATTCCAACTGTTTGGTTGGACGGAATTGAAATCTCATTTTCATTCCTGCTGGAATGACCATTCCCTGTCCCTCTTTTGGGAATAAAATCCCATTCTTGTTGGTTGTAATTGTCATTCCCATTTCTGTCTGAACCAAACAGACTATGGGAATAGACCATTTCAATTCCAATCAAGGTTCAAAGTATTGACACGTATCGACCCGTATCGGTTGATACGCACCTACAAAGATTGTATCAGGTCAGCCATTGGTTCAAAGGGTAACCGGGCCTTAAACCGGCCCCTCTGAACCGATTTTGAAAAAAATAAAAAAACACCAACACAGGCCAATACACCCTACCAGCGTATTGGCCCGTGTCGATATTTAGAACCTTGATTCCAATTCCAAAATATTTTAATTCAAATTCCAATTCTAACTGCAAACCAAATGAACCTTAACTGAATCATTCTCATTTTTTTTATATATGAAATATGAAAATGATAAATATAATCAAGGAAATGTCAAAGAGGGAAAGACAAGTAAAGCCATCCAACCGAAGCCAAAAATACAGCCATATAAGCATATGTAATTGGAAGAGCTTTGACCAATCAAAGCACCTGTTAATTTTTTATGAATACCACCTGATTGAGTTCGACATGCCCATTCGAACAACCTTGCATTGAAAATATTTCCGTACTTATACTTTATTTCATGGAAAGCTATTCCCAATGCAAAATTGCACGAGGCTGTTGGGACAGTATGAGCACCGGCTTGCCCTGACCAAAGCCGATCTCCACCTGATTGGTCATCTCTTTTTGGAGAGTTTACAATTGGCGCTCCACATGCACATTTCAACGCATTGAGAATGTCTCCAGAAGTTGTCATTGGGAGACGTTCCCAATACACAGTTGGGATGTCCTATAAGGAATGCTCTGTGGGGCACAGATGTGAATTCCTTTTATGATACAAGTTGATTGGCTGTAAAGTTTTCCGATATCATGTATTTTCAGTATCGTAGTCGAACCCATAAGAGAGAGAGATGTTGCTTGTAACACAAATTATCTCATTACAATGCAAACCCTAAACAGTATCTCAAAAAGACTTGGGCTCAAGATTACACTTTATACAGCATCAAGCATTTGTGACTTTACTAACCTTCCATGATCACCACAGCTACCAGGAATATTGACTGGGTAACAGGGTAGAATTGTAGAAAATAAGGTCCAAACAGATGAAACCTCCCTCTGCTATGACTGTTCCACATTGCAGGCAAACGCCTGCCTTTATTGTAAAAGTAATACAAAGAGAGAACAGATCCAACAGACAATGTTATTGACCCTTCTTTCTCTTCACCGTTTTCACCAAACTAATAAAGAATCGAGGAGAACATAAACTTACATGGTGATGAACTCGACTTTTGATTCTTCACCCCCAGAAGGGTGAGTTATGACCCACCCCCAAAAATATGATAACACAACCCATACATCTATCTACAGATTGCAGAATCTCACTAGATTGAACTCTCTTTTCTCTTTTGGAAGCTCATATGTAATTGTCTAGTAATGCAAACGAGTCTCCTGCGAAAATGGCATGACCAGATCAAGCTCCAAAGCAATTGAAAACCCCTGGGAGCAGAAAAATGCTAATTACAGTCCAGTCCACATTCTTCCAGGACAGGTCCATCCGACTTGGCCAAGAATGGATCAATCCGGACCCACAAAAGGGAAAAGATAGAAGCAAGAAGAATGGACCAGACAATGATGATTGTGGGTGTCCTGTTCTGCCGGCCCAATAGACCCTTGAGGAATGGGTAGAGATGGACAATCACCCAGAAGGCAAAGAAGAGCTTACCAAACAAAGGACCCCATGACTCATACCCGTTGTTTATTGCATTTGAGACACCAGCAACAACACCGATAAGGTTTATTATTAGCAATGTTGTTGGTGGGATAAGCAATGTAGTCCACTTAAATGCATATAGCTCTGAGAACTCATCATCATCCCCAGCCTTCGATGTCACAGTGAAGTTGGTATCTATACCAGCCAATACCTTTAAAAGACCCTGGAAGACTGCAAAAAGATGCGCAGAAACACCCCCAATGACCCAAAACTGCTCATTCCGCCACCAATCATCAAGACCAACACCACTCCATCTCATTTCCAGGATGCTTGTAGCGAAAATACAAATGAAAAGTGACATAAACCATAAACTTGCGATGTTGCTAAGCTACACCAGAAACAAGACAAAAACATATAAGGTCTAGTGCACTATAAAAACTAAGCAAGATGTTCCCCATCTGGAGACAAGTTTCATACCTCTGGAGTGATAAATTTGCCTGTGAGCAAGCACACAGCAGGTAAGGTACAGTATGCTAGCAGTGGAATTGATGTCAATGGATAAACTGTAGCACCTATGTAAGACCAGCGCTCCAACCATTTCAAGCCACCTCCATATCCATACCATATGGGACAGTGCCTGCTCAAGAAAATTTCCACAGAACCAAGAGCCCATCGAAGGACCTGATGCAGACGATCAGAAAGATTGATGGGTGCAGATCCTTTAAATGCTGGCCTCGGTGGGATACAATATATTGATCGCCATCCATGGCAGTGCATCTTAAAACCAGTAAGAATATCTTCTGTAACAGAACCATAGATCCAACCAACCTGATGACAAATATGATTATTGGCAGGTGAATGCAATTCTAAAAGAGAGAGCCCTCTGTAATAGATGACAAGAGAAGCAGCAGCCTAGTGAATATTACCTCTTTTCCCCAATCTGTCTTGTCTTCATAGCCACAGCTGATGACATGAATGGCTTCTTTCAGCAAAGATGCAGGGCTTGCACTTTTCAGTGTTCCACCATTCTCAAGCAGGGTGGATGCAACGAACACGGGAGACTGTCCAAACTTCTTTTCCAACTTCTCCTCAGATATCACAGTTGATTTTGAACTCTCAATCCCTGCATATAGAAATTGCAATGAAAAAAAAATCAATAGTAAATAACAAAGAATGGGCCTAATAGCTGGCAGAATCGCATCCTAAAGAATCAGAACTGACAGGATTTGCAAACTTTATTGATAAGGATGATTTTATCAATAAAGATTTCATAGCTGAGATGGATTCATAGGACTTCAATATTTGAGATGCATAATTCCACTTGAATTGCAACAGAAGTTGGCTCATAACAAAACAGAACTAGTTGAGATTAATAAAAGGCAACCTTTAAAAACTTTAGACATGAATTACAAGCCAGTACTTATTTTACAATTTGGTGCACCCTAGTCATTTTTAAAGGCATCAACCAATACCAAGTCATCAATTTGGTAGACCTTTTGCCAAGTTGGAAAATTATCCAATCCCCAGCAAAGTTGAGCTTGCACCAAAAAAAATAATAATAAAAAAACAAAGTTGATCTGAATTTGTGGATATATGATTATAACTGTATCAGCAAGTTTCTAAAAATTGCTTCAAATAGGCAAAAACCTATATCTTTCTAGAAATTTCGAAGGGATAATGAATAAAGAAGAATCTAAATACAAACTTTAATCATCACAAAACAATAAAATTTCAGATTCCATAGGGCATCAAACAAGAATTTTTTTTAGTACCTTCAATGCCCTCCAAAGAATATGCAGGTGGTATCAAATTTCGAGAACCCCTTTTCTTCTCAGACTTGGGCTTAGTGGTCTTCTTCCTCTTCCCAGAACAGCAGCATGCACAGCAACACCACTTTGGCCAACAATTGCAGGTCCTTGTTGGTGGCTTCTTTGTCTTTGGAGCATCATAACCATAGAGCGCCTGCCTTCTAAATGCACACCCAGTCCCCACATATATGGGCCCTTGTATCCCATCTAGACCTTTCATGTTAATCTGGTACAGGAAACTTATCCATTAGCTTACTCATAGAAACAATAAGCTTGTTGAGAATATAAATAGTAGATTACAGAAGCAACTTATAAGAATGGAGAACAACATGCTTACATCAAAAAATACAACATTTCGGTTGGCATATCGGTCATGCCTATCAATACCATCAAACCTTTGTGGGAATTGCACATAGCACACTTTCTTTCCCATCAATGGATCCATCATGAAACACATTGCCTCCCTGAGAGCTTTGCTGTTATTGATGTAGTGATCACAATCCAAGTTCAATAGATATGGTGCATTTGTCAGCACAGCTGAGACTCTGACCTGTTTATGAAAAACAACCAGCAAATAAAGAATTACAATCTTTTGTTTCTGACAGGAATTCAGAGACAAGAAATTGTTCATTTGACACTCACCAAAGCATTCATAGCACCAGCCTTTTTATGGTGAGTAAATCCTGGCCTCTTTTCTCTGGAGACATAAACTAGGCGAGGTAGTTCATTTCCTTCAGTGTCATGCCCTCCACTTTGGCCTAGAAACACCTGGAGTGGACCATAGAAGAAGCATTAGAACCACATTCTTAGAAAGGGTATTAATAACAGAACATGTTTGTACCTGAATCATGCCAGGGTGATCTCGGACATTATTTCCAGGCCATGGAGTCCCATCTTGCATTGTCCACCCTTCTTCCGGGACCTTCTGAGCCTTGGCAACCAAAGCATTGATCCGAACTTTGTACTCCTCATATTCTCTCTGCCAGCCAAAACATTCTAGCATATTTAGACACATGGCCAACAAAAACAAAATGTAGTTGTGTTATGAACAAAGATTAGATTTAACTAAGACATCATTACCTTCATGGCCCTTCGCTCTTTTACAAATGAAGGGAGGACCTTATCCTTGAGATAATCAATCTTCTGAGCAAAATACCACTCAGGTGCTCGTGGCTCAATATTGAACTTCTTGCAGAAAGGAACCCATTTCCGTGCAAACTCAGATGTTTCAGACAATGCTTCAAATGTCAGCATAGCAGCACCATCATCTGAAACGTAGCAAGAAACCTTTTCTACAGGGTAGTCGACAGCAAGAATGGATAGAACGGTGTTTGCAGTAACCAGAGGAGGTTCTTTTAATGGGTCTACTGTACTCACAAATATATCTACTGCAGAGAGTTGAGAAGGCTGGCCTTCTTTTTCATACCTGAAAAAATCAACTGCCAAAAATCATAAGCTTTGATTCTGTGGTTGGGTGTAAATGCAAACTAAAAAAAAAAGAAAAAGATAACTGAATTTGACTGAGCACTAACCGCAAGGATAGTCTGTCTAGATAAGTTTCCCGATCAATTGGTAGCCACTTTGGAAACTGATCAAGGATCCATGAAATGGCAAACCAAATCTCACAAATAACAGATATGAGCCACAATGCATATGCATCAGGTGCTGGATGTGTTATTCGGTAATGAAAGAAGAACCCAAGAACTACAAGCCGTATAATGATGATCATGCGATATGGGTTTATTTGGCTCGATGGAATTGGTAGTTTCCTTGATAACGGTTGTCTAGCCTCATCCATTCTGATGAAAAACAAGGTAAAGCACCAATGCTTAGCATTCAAAATCAACAGTACAAACTGAAAGGAGTTCATGGTAATAAAGTGCAAGAAAGGGAGGAATAATTGATTCAATATATCAAGTCATCATTACCATGACATATGATGATTAATAAATACTTTGGGATTTGATCTAGTTGGAGAAAACTTGTAGGAGTACAAAAACCAGTTAACATTAATGTTCTTAAAACTGTAATTGTCTCATAAATCATAGAGAATGTTGAGTTTGAATCATAAAACATATTGTGAATCATAACATTATTTATAAATTTTCCAAAAATTAAAAGTAGATATTTTAAAAATTTAAGTATTTTTTAATAAAAATTTATACATACATACATATATATATATATATAGAGAGAGAGAGAGAGAGAAGTGATTTTGGCCCATTTTTAATTCATTTTTTTCTGATATTTACCTAAACATTTGTATTGAGTGCCATAAAAGAAGCTCCCAAGCTTGTCCAGGCCAGACATCAGGGGTAAAGTATACAAACAGCATAAAGCTAACCATACACTAACTCTTTTTTTATAAGTACATACACTAACTCACAAATTTTAATTTGTATCTACCATATATGTACTTAACACAATAGAGCTTACCATTTATACACTAGAAAAATAAGATGATATGATCAAGTTTGACTTGAAAACTGACTAATCCTCTTTAAAATGGTTCTTTAACCTAAATATGATAGAAAATAGACTCAATAAGGTTCCTAAATAAGGCTTCAATAACTTAGACAAACCATATTATAGAAAGGGTTTTAAAACAAGAGACCCTTGAAAAAAAAATCAAAAGAAACAAATGAATGATAAAGTTGAGAATTAAATCTCAATTCCAAGGTGGTGGTAGGTGGTTGAAGAACCCTGAGGATGCTGTGTAGTGTTACAAGAATGAAATCAAGAAATTTAAGTGGCTGACAAGGAATTTGACTGTTTCTATACAATGGGTGGGGAGATCAGCAAATGCATTGGCAAATGGTTTAGCCGGGCAAGGGGCAAATAGGGAAGATTTGTTTTTGGGCTCAGCTGTAATGTTCGTTTCTTCTTTCTAGTTTCCTTGTAATCTGTTGGGAGAGGCTGCAGCTCATGCCTCCCCAAGGGCTGTTGTATGAGTTTAAAGTTCTATATTAAGTTCTGAATTAATAAAGTTTTCTCTTCATTCATAAAAAAATGATTCAAATCAAATGAATTGTATAAATCATATAATTCACAAAATTAAATAATAGAATTAAAATAGTAATTGCAACATATTTGCAGAAGCAGAAAAATATACAGACATAATATTTGAATCAAAACCATTGGGATTCATGATTTGAATTGTGAATTGTAAGATTTTGACAATTATGGTTAACACAAATAGGCCAAAGCCTCAACCTTTTATCAGTTGACTTATCAAGAGAGAAAGGTAAAGAAACAGCTAATCCACAGGTTACATAGATTCTATAAAATTTAATGGATTTACTGGGTACAGGAGCTGCACATGAAAACATTATCCATTAACATTTTCATATACCAGAGATGCTTCTCAAGTGCTTACAGGGGTAGATCTGGCCCATCACCATCATTGTCCCAATCTTTGCCACCAATTTCATTCTTCATGACTTGTAGCTTCTCTTGTTTTTGCTTCCAATTCTCCACCCTCTCCTTCCATGCAACACTTCCATAACCATAAGCAGCCAAATCCTTGGATGGATCCATGGATCTAGGTTGGACTGCAAATGAATAAAAAGAAATATCTCATTTTAGTGAATAAGATGTAACATAATAATGAATGGCATTGCAGCTATAATCATTACTGAAACATGAAAAATGTCAAAGCACCTGGGAGACTAGGATCTGCGAATGGAAGGGGGTGGACCCTTTTTCCTCCACCCCCCATGAAAGAAGGAACCAAAGCATGCTGTTCTGGAGGAATATCGTCAACCTACAACAACCCATGTCGCTAGTTCAATTGGAAAACCATTTTACCTTTGATATTAGAACAGTGAAAACTAGGCCACATAACAATGAGAGAGTAGTAGTTAGAGGTACTCATCTACAACATATATATTAGAAAAAAAAAAAGAAGTCAATTAAATAAACCACAGAGAAAAAAAAAAGGAATTTGCATAGTTGATTAAATACCATCTGGCCATCGGTAAGAAGAGGAACTTGAGGCATCGTATGAATAACTTGAGGCATGTATGCATCCCCGGCTCGGCCATAGCTCATGTGGCCATGAAGCATGGATTCAGCAAGATATTGCATATCTTGCTTTTCCCTCCCAGAAAAACTAAATTCGTTCTCAAGGTCATCGATGCCATCTTCTTCTTCATCACCCGCAACTCTAGCACACCCTGTAAATTTTCAACCTATTTAAACCAAAAAATGCCCCAAAAGAAAATAACTTGCACAATCAAATATTCAAATGGTAAGATCTTGGTCACAACAAGTAGCTCACCCTTTAGACGTTTGAACCTAGTTTTACACTGTGGGCAGACCTGGCTTCCTTCTCTCCGCTCATACTCGTAGCAAGTCCTGCAAATTGGGAAGGCACATTCATTGCAGGCAACAAAGAGCTCACCATCTACATTAAGCCCCACATCATCCCCACAAATTTGGCAGATTTGCCCACTGATTGGCCGCAACGGCTTCGGCTGCAACAACAAGCAACATCCACAAATTAGAAATTCTCGATTCTTCAAAAATGAAGCACAGGAACTGTAAAACCAGACTCTTCAAGACCAACAAAAAGAATTCATCGTTTTCCAATATCATATCTTTGAACTTACTCCAAATTCTCCCTCGCGACGGATGACGACCAGTTCATTCCTGTTGTGAGAGCCTGCCACCAAACCAGCACTGGCCTCCATGACTCAAAATAAAGAGGCCACACCCAAATACCCAAATTTTCTCCAGATCTGCTCTCCTTGGAAACCAGATAAAAATCCGATCTTTTTTGTTATAATTTTAGGTTTTGAGCAGAACCCAGTTGATAAAACTCGATGTTCAGGAAATCTAGAAGAAATACATCTCACTGGAGATGAAGCTCGAGCTCCCCATCTGAGCTGTAAAACCTGTGGAGGGGAAGCTAGAAGGGGCCTTATTTGTGAACGCACAGAAAGACTTCCCCCTCTTATTATTCCTTCCTTGTTACCTCAAACACTAGCAAAAATCCCTCTCTTTCAGTGAAAAAAAATATATCGAGCATCTTCGATTTTCAGGAAAAAATAAGAAAAATTATAAAAAATTAAATAATGAATACCATGCTAAGACTATTACACCAACCCTTTCTCTCCTACAACCTTCTATTTGCCACTCGTTTTTAACACCTCCGCCGACACAGTTAACACGTCAGAGATAGACACAATCTCTCACTCTCGGTTAGAGATTTTAACTGCAAATTTCTTTCTCGGTATAAAAGCTCATTCACGTAATGTAGATTAAAAACAAAACAAAATTGAGGGTTGATTTGGACGGGAACCGGATCTACAAGGCATAACATAAAGTAAGTACGTTAAATGCGAATTTGATAGTATTTTGACAACTGTCAAGTTTTAATCTTTTTCAAGGTGGGCTGAGGGTATTTTAAGTAACAGGTGTCAAAAAATTTTTAAGTGCTCATTAATCCTATTTACAACATTGTGGTTACATGATCCAAATTGGGTTTGGACATCCCTAGAAAAGACAAAAGAACCTTATAAAATAATGTTTTTTTGATAAATTACAAAGACCCCATATACTTAATTTTTATTTGTAATAAAGATTCTCTAAATTTTCACTTTATAACAAATACTCCCTCTATTAGACTTCCTCTAATTAACTTGAAAAAAAATCAGCTGTTTAAAATTTTGTAAATCCACAAAATACCATTTTCTTATTTATTTAAATGATTTATGATTTGAGTAGTTTTCTAAATATAACATTAAAGCCCCCTTGATTGCTCCAATAGATCCTTTCAAATTTTTGGTTGATTCAGTATTCAAATGAAATGGTAGAGATTTCTTTCTCAATATAAATTTATTGTTTTGTTTGGTTTTTCCTGATTTATTGGAGAAAGTAGTGGATAATTTTTATATTTTAAGATAAAGAGAGGTACTTGTGTGAGGAAAAATGAATCAAGAATTAAAAAAAAAATTCTATGCCAATGAAATGATTATTATTATTATTATTATTATTATTATTATTATTATTATTTTAGCCATTTTCATTAAGAGAATATATAGGTATTTTTGGTCAATTAGGGTTTAAAAGAAAAGTGTGAGAAAAAGAAATTAAGAAAAGTTTAGATGTGCATTTTAGTAATCAATGGGGTATTTGTTGCAACGTGGGTATTTGTCACTTACTCTATAGTACAGAGAGTCTTTGTAATTTACCCTTTTTCTTTTAAAAAATGCCTTTCTATAATGTGCCAAAGTTTGGAAGAAGAAAAGCACTAGAAAAATAGAAGGGAAATACATATAATTTTACTACATCAATAATTTATAAAATCTATTGGTGGCTTGCTGAACTGAAAGTTCCTTCGGGTTATGCTAAGCCAACCCATATTTTGGGTCAGATTCAGCTAGAGGGTGCGGAAGGACATGTTTGTATGTCCAGCAGAGAAATTTTTAATTACTTTTTTCACACTATGTATAGTCTTTCGCGGGTACTAGATTATATTCATTGAATGTAGAAGAATGGATTGAAGAGCAGATTGAATCAATACTTTTTTACTTAACTGACTGAGAGCTGAAGCTTTCCACCTATTTAGTTTCGAGTTGGATTGTCCAAAACATAATTCAAATTAGCATCTAGAGCAACACAAAGGAAGCCCTAAATATATAGAGTGAGGATTAAGGGGATTAATATGAAGTTGCCTTTTAATCATTCTTTTATGACGTGGATGAATGTTTTTACTGAAGAATATTCATGATTTTTCAAAATTTATCACCTTACCAGAAGAGGATTGAAATTGGTCTAAAATTTATTTCAAATTGTCCAAATCCTCCCTATAAACGGGCTTTAAGAAAAAGTATTACATCATCAACAAAAAAGAAATGAGAATTGGAGGGGGAGTGATTCGAGATTTTAATTCCTTGCAACTGCCCCTCATGTTCAGCCTTGAAAATCATGCGGGAAATTATTCAAACACCCATTTTTCCTCCGGAAAATTCAATGCATTGGGCTTGGATTCCTCGTAAATCATGTAAATTCACCACTAAAGAGGCGTATAAAAATTTACAACAGTCGTTCCTGGTATCTGTTCCTATTGACTTCCGATTTTGTCTTAAATGGATTTGGAAATTAACTATTCCCCATAGTTATCAGTCGTTTTTTTCTGGAAGGTTATTAGTAATTTTGTTCCAGTGAAAGAGTTGATATGTTTGGATCAGCAAGAGAAACATTGTGTATTATGCCATGGGTATGAATCATTTGTTTTTTGAAGGTACTTTTGCACAAGCTATCTTCTTTGCAACGCCATGGAATATTAATCTTAACAGTTTACTCCAAGGTTCATGAGTGCCTTGTATTAACGCTTTGTTTATTTTTGTGTCTGATAAATAATTGCTTACTAATGTTTTAGGTTGGATTGCAATTGCTTTTTATTATATTTGCTTGCTAGGAATGAAAAATGTTTTAGAAACCACCAAATTATGCCTCAAAATCTCTGAAGTATTATTAACCAAGCATTCCAAAATTCTAGATTGTCTCAATCTGATCGAAGTCGTACACAAGATTCTCGGCCAAAATTTTTGCTTCAAGTTAAACAGTCGACAGATATTATTATCATATTTACTGATGCTGGGACGATTACAAATACCTGATCATTCTCTTTTGGGATCATCGTATTATCCAGGAATCTATCATGTCTGAAAATATGGGGCAGGGTCGATAATTTCGATTCTATTGATCAAGCTGAGCTCTTTGCTGTTTTGCAGGCTTTTTAATTTGTACAGCAATGGAATCATGGGAGTATGGTTTTATGTTCTGATATGCAAAGGGTGGTGTGGGCGTTTGAAGAGAAGTTTCTGTAGACCTGGTTTTGCCATTGGCTTTTGATGAAGATTAAGGCTCTTATTAAATTTAGTGATATTTCTTATTGTTATCTAAATAGAAAGTATCAGCTTCAAAAGATCTCAGTCAAATTTGTTTATTTATTTCTGAGAAGGGCTACTCCGTCTTGTGTATCCCCTCAACTTTTCCTATCAAAACAAATAAAGTGTAATATGTCAGCCCATGCCGCGTTGCAGTTGGCCAAGAGCCATCCGCTAGAGTACCGGTGATTCAGGACTTTGTAGATAAAACGGTTTAATACAGTACTTTTATCTTTCAAAAAAAAGGAATAGATAAATTGCAGAGGAAGTTCTTTTGGGGAATAAACCAAATACAAAAAAAAATAAAAATAAAAAAAAGGTTTGCCTTGGGCGGATGGGAATGGATAAAAGTTGCATGTGTAAGGAGGAGGGCGGTTTGGTATAAGAAAGATGATAACTAAATAATGCAAACATGATAAAATTAGGATGAAAAAGAAAAACAATCTATGGGTGAAAGTTATTAACAAAAAATATTTAAGGAATAAAAAATTCTTGAATGCAACATCCCAAAATCTGTTTCCTGGGCTTGGAAATAAATTCTTAACAGAGAGAGAAATTCTGAAGGGAATGGGAATCTATGCAAACTATGGACACATACTTGGATCAATAATAAGCCCCCGACATTAGGAGAGAGAAAATATGAATATATATATATATATATGTGTGTGTGTGTGTGTGTTTGGGTTATGGATGAGTTGGTCAGGGATACCACGTGGCAGTCTCTGTGGTCACACGCGGGATAGATAATCATGACCAAGGAGTGTCTTGCACGGATGAGGAATTTAACTCCGCTAAGGAAGAGGAGACATCCCGATGACCTCGGTAGGCAACCTCATCCCGACAACCCTGGAAGCCTCATCCGTCTAGAACACGGACATCCAACTTTAAATAGGTAATATTCGCTCAAGGTAAATGACTTTTGGACTTGGAATACTTTTACACCATCTGCTCATACCAGCATTTTACTTACTCGGCCCGGCCACTTATCTCTCCATTCAACTGGCTTGAGCGTCAGAGTACCTACCTAGGGAATAACTCATCGGGCCTTTAACCTTCCCTCTTGGTTGCAAATCCTAATGTGCGGCTTTGTCCTTCCACCTTGGCTTCGTCTAATTGACAAGATTATCTGACTATGTCCTCAGTTCGGGACACCTTGGATCAGACAACATCAGATTGGCAACGTTTGTGGAAATGCACAAAAAGTCATTTCCAAAACCTCCTTCCACACACTCAAAACAACCATGCCTAAGAACACATCTGACCACTCTAGAGCCCGTTCCCATCTCAGGGCTCCTGCTCCCATTGCAGCTCTCCACCTCGAGAGCCTCAATAGCAAACCACGGTAGACCCTATGCAATTCCAGGCGATGTAACAAAAAGTCGACCACATTCTTGCAATGATGGAGACGTTGGGGCAGCTAATTCAAGCCCCTTAAACCGTTCGCCCTGCTGCGCATAGGGATGCAAACGGATTGAATCATATTTGAATCTGGGTGAATTCGAATTCGATTAGATAAAAAAATCAAATGATTTGAATTTGAATTTGAATCCTTCGGATTTTGTATTCAATGGTTCGAATTCGACTCGAACCTTTTCATTAGATATCCAATTCGATTCAATTGAGCATTTTCGAATCAAATATCCAATTCGATCCGATTTGAACATCACCCATTTAACCTATAACCTATGCATTATCAACAATTTAACACATATCTAAGCATAAATTTAACCTGTAAATTTTCACCAATTTAACTTACACTTAACACAAATTTAACCTGTAAAATTTCAGCAATTTAACCTCTTAATTATCAACAATTTAACATTGACTTCTAACATAAATTTAGCATGAAAATTTCACTATTTCACCAATTTAACTTGTGAATTTTTCAACAAATTAACATGTGACTTATCAGCAATTTAACCTATAATTTTTAGCAATTTATGATAAACTTGTAGAACAAATTTAACTTGTAAATTTTCAGAAATTTAATCTAATTATCAACAAATTTATCATTTAAGTCTAGCACAAATCAAATACACTCATACGAAAACCTAAATGGATAAACAAAATTTGACTCTAACAAACCCAAACGGCTAAACCTATTCCATATGATAAAACTCATAGAAAAGGGATTGGAAAAAAATAGAAGATGGGAGGAGAAAGATTACCAGCGGCACTGTTGAGTCGTGAATGGATGAATGCGAGGAAACCAACGACTAGCAGTTTTCAAGATTGAAC